ATCTATCTATCTATCTATCTATCTATCTATCTATCTATCTATCTATCTATCTATCTCTCTATCTATCTATCTTGATGTAGTATAGATCCAAGGATTACCTTGAACTTTTGATTCTCTTGCTTCCATCTCCCAAGTGCTGGAATTTTAAGTGTATGCCACTATGGCCAGTTTATGTGGTGCTGGGGATGGAACTCAGGGCTTCCTGTATGCTGGGCAAACACTCTACCAACTGCACTACAGCTACAGCCATGATGCTGTGGTGGAAGATGGGGAGACATTCACTAGCAGCCCAAGCCTCTAAATAAACTTTAAATAACAATTTTTGGTTACTCCTGAAAAATCTTAGGAGTTCTAATTATAGATTTTTTTTATATCAGTTAAGGATGCCTTTGACTTCAGTAGCAAATAGTGGATTAAAAATCACAGCTTGTTTCAGGCGACAGGGAGTGCAGAGGCCAGCAGAGTGAAGGGTCTGCTGTAATTAACTGGAGCTGTAGATTAACAATGCCCACGCCTGGTTACACTGACCAAATGAATTGACCACATCAAAACGTTTAAGTTCTTGTTTGTGCCAGCACTTTGCTTCTTTGCCTGACTCTTGCTTTGTGCAGAGGTTGATTTGTTTTCTGTGCAGTCTGTGGGGGAAATTTACCTTCCTTGATCTCATCTTGGTTGGAGGCTTAGCTGGAGGCTTCTCAGCACAACACAGGCATCCCAAGGAAAGATGTGTAGGAGCTGCCTGGAGGCCCCCATCTGTCCTTAGGAGCAGTGTGCAGTTTTCTCACCTAGGGCTTCAGAGGCTTCAATCTGCAGTGGGAGCAACACTTGCTTCAGTCTTTTAGAGATAGCAGGTGGCCTTACAGAGCAATGGCTTGCTGAAGTTGCCATTCCACACAGGATGTCAGTAGGGATGCCCTCAGGGCCTGACTTGTGCTGGGGAGACAGGAGAGATGTGCTTTTCATCTGCACGAAGCTGAGTTTCTGGCAGGAAGTGTCATTAAAGTCAGAAAGAAATATTTTGCTTAAAAAAATCTGTTTAAAAAAGATGGAGATGCCAGGTTCAAATTCCAAGTCTCACTGTGTGCTTAGAAAGGCATCTTTCCTCATAGAATTGGCTCAGAACTTCTTGCTGAGTAGGTAGACACATGCACACAATTTCTGGCCATCCACGGAGGTATGTGTGTGTGTGGTGTGTGCAAGTGTGCATGCAATCCCGTGGTGCAAGTGAGAAGTTGGTGGGCAACCAGAGAGGGTTGTTTCTCTTGTTCTTCAGTGTGGGTGTTGGGATTGAGCTCAGGTTTTCAGGCACGTGCTTTACCTACTGAGCCTTCTTGCTGGCACCTAGAGATCATACTTAACGACCTTTAAATACATTAGTGTCTACTATCAGTATAAACTTTGCTTTAAGGTTGCATGGGAAAAGCAGATGTATCAAAACAAAACAAAAACCAAGAACAGCAGCAGAAAAAAAATATCTTGATGTCTATTGTGACCCTTGTCTCCATAACAAATTCCCAGCATTGTCATTGCCCCTGCTCTCTTTCCTCCTGCCACCTTCTCTGTAGTGCTGCCTTGGTTGTCACCTTCCAGTGATAAATATGTCCATGTGGGCAATGAATTTATTCAGCAAGTCTACCTAGGGAGGAGCACAAATGAGGAACAGAGAGAAGTGCATACAACACACATAGAAGGGAGAACCTGCCTTTAGACCGAGGTCGGTGTTTCCCCAGCTAGACTCGAAGGGGACAGCAAAACCAGACAAATTCAATTCCAACATATACACATACCACAAAACAAGGCCACAGGTCAGCAGGGAAGGAACAAGGAATGGTGTCCTTACCGTGGAAATGGTGGATCATCAAATGGGAACTGAGTACCTTGATTCCAGCTACATGATGCTGAGGATTTTTCTGGCATTGCTTTGCTATCTGTCCCCAACAAAAGAAGGCCACAGGGGAGGGGCTGCAGCTGAACAGATGATGCTGTACAAGAAAAAAAATCTAATACTTAAGACAAGCACAGCCAGCCAAGAGCCTTGACACTCGAGGAGCGGTGGAGGATAAGAACCGCAAACAATGGTTGCTTGTGTGGTTGTTGACCATAAATCTTGGTTCAAGCCATTAAAAAGTTGCCATGACTGTGTGGGAGAGCAGTTGCAGTTCTCTGCTTTGGAGAGAAGAGAGCAGAGTGGTGTGTGTGTGTGTGTGTGTGTGTGTGTGTGTGTGTGTGAATGTGCAAGTGCACGCACAGATCCACGGCACCTGCTTTATTCATTATGTTGCTGTGCTCCTTTCTAGTGAATGAGCTGTTCTGTGCTCCTTGACAGTCCTGATCTGAATGTTGAAAGGCAGCAGTGGGGAAGAGACAAGTTATCTTCAGGTCACGATGAAAGTGTGGCCGCCACAGCTGTTCTTTGCTGGCTATTAAACGCTGAACACCTTAGTAGTGTATTAGGTGGCACATTCCCTATTCTGTATGTGTGTACATGTTTATGTGTGGGTGCACATATGTGCGTCAGGTGTCTCCCCCAGACCCTCTCCACCTTAGTTTTTGAGGCATGGTTTCTCATAAATCTGAAACTTGCTAATTCATCTAAAATCTACATGAATTCTAGACAGACAGTCTCTGCCTACATAGTGCTGAGACCACAAGCCTGGACCACTGTACCTGACTGGTTTTTTTTTAACATGGGTTTTGGGGTATTGATCTCAGGTCCTCACACTGGCTTGGCAAGTACTTTCCCAATGCACCCAGCTCTCAATAGCTATTTTGAAATAAGTCTTCTATCTCACAGTAATTTTAGGTTGGCCGAGATGTTGCAG